GAAGGAAGGAAGGAAGGAAGGAAGATAACGAGGGAAGGAAGGAAGGAAGGAAGGAAGATAACAAGGGAAGGAAGGAAGGAAGGAAGGAAGGAAGGAAGGCCACATCTTACCACATCGATTTCTGTGTTGGAATGTCCCATGTTGCACACAATACAACCGTTCTTCATCCGATCCAGATGTTCTCTCGTCACGACATTTTTGTTACCTATCAAACAAAATTGACAAGAGAAATCATCGACCGGGCTGTCAATCCCAACCCATGAAAGGGCAGCCTCTCCTCCCGGCTGCCTCCCCGCCTGGCAGCGGCCGCGGGGCTGCTCTCTAGCAGCTCCCCAATCCATCCACGGAGACCTGCCTCCCCCCTCCCCAATTTCCTGGGATCTCTTCCCCGGGAGTTACCTGTGCAGGTGATAACGATGTCGACTTGCCGATTCACTTCGTTGAGTTTCACGAGACGGAAGCCATCCATGCTGGGGGGGGGGGGGGGGGAAACACAACATGAACCCTGAGATTTGTGGACGGGTCCCCCGAAAAGTCACCCCAAATCTAAGAAACACCCCCACCCCCAAAATCCCGGGCAGCCCTTTGCCTCCCAGGGCCGGAAACCAGCAAGTTGTGGTTGTGTGTAAAGCTGAAATCACTGGGCACCCATAGCGACTTGCTTCTTTTTTTTAATGGCTGCATCTGTCAGGATTCTGGCAATCGCCCTAATTCAATGATGATTCTCGAGCCAAACTTTAAAAAAACCTCAAAGGATTTATTAGGAGCATCATGTCGGCATTAACCTAAACGAAGCCAACTCTGTCATACGTAATTCACAGTCCCGTGACCTTGTTTCTTCCCCTCCCCCCCGGGTGTGTCATAAATCATATTCTCCAATTGAGCACCTTCACGGGCCGGGTGTCATCACAATCACGTTCTCCAATTAAAGACATTCCCGGACAAAAGCTCCGGTAGTTTAGCTACAATCTTTTAAAGAGAAGAGTTGGAATGTACTTTCGCTTCCAAACTGCTGCACGGCTCTTCCAGATTTCCTTCCTCTCCCCCCACTTTTTCTTTTATGGCAACTACTAAAACAGGCCTAGGGATGGTTTATGAGTTGACAGCATCAGGGAGAGCGGGGGGGGGGGGGGTGTTGGGATCCTCAAGTGAGGCCGTCTCGCTTAATGGCTGTCAGCACTTGCCATCGTACAAGTCAAGCTCCGTTACAGTTAATCCTCGACATTACAAACGGTGAGAAGTTACAACGGCACCGGAAAAAAAAGGACTGTTTTTCAACAGTTAACAGCTTCTGCAGCCTCCCCCAGGATCAAAATTTTAGGTTGCTCGGTGGCTGGTTCGTACTTATCACCGTTGCTTCATCCCGTGTGTGTGTGTGTGTGTGTGTGTGTGAAGCAATCATTTTTTTGCGACCTTCTGACAAGCAGAGTCCGAGCTGGATTTGCTGAAATGACCGGGTTCGTAACTTATTCATGGTGGCGATTCGCTTAACAACGGTGCTGGCAAGGAAGGTCATAAAACGGGGCCGAAACTCGCTTCACCCCAGACATTTTGGGCCCTATTGTGGTTGTTAAGCCAAGGAGTAGTTGTATCTCGAGACTCCCTGGGTTTCTTTACCACTTGGAGTGGGCTTTTCAGGCCTTCGCTCAGCGGGCGAGAGGTTTCCACCCGCCACGCACAAGACCCTTTTGGGACCCTAACCCACAAACTACAGTTGGAATGGGAGACCCCCCCAGCCAGTCCTCTCATCCTCCCCACCTGGGCTGGCTGCTCCTCTTAGCTTTGGCCAGCCTAAGGGGGGGCAAAGGGGCAGAAGCAGCAAGAGAGCCATGATAGATTCATAGAGCTGGAAGGGACCCCAGAGGTCTTCTAGTCCAGAAGTCTCCAACCTTGGCGACTTTAAGACTTGTGGACTTCCACTCCCAGAATTCCTCAGCCAGCAAAGCTTGCCATGGTTGGAGACCCCTGTCTTAAAGCATGGTGGCCTTGGGGGATTTTGGGAGTTGGTCCCCCCATCTCAAAGCATGCTAGCTGGGGGAATTCTGGGAGTGGAAGTCCACACCTCTTAAAGCAGGAGTCTCCAATCTTGGCAACTTTTAAGACTTGTGGACTTCCACTCCCAGAATTCCTCAGTCAGCAAAGCTGGCTGAGGAACTCTGGGAGTCGAAGTCCAGAGCCTTAAAGTTTTGCTGGCTGAGGAACAGGGGTGGGATTCTAGCGGTTTGGACCAGTTTGGGGGAACCAAAGATCAGCTGGCAGCGAACCAGTTCGCTTGGATGATGATGTGGGCCTGCTCGCCGCTCCTTAGCTGTGTTACTCCCCAGTAGTAACATAGCAGGTAAGTTTTTAGAAGATAGAATTCCTTATTGGCCAAGCGTGATTGGACACACAAGGAATTTGTCTTGGTACAAATGCTCTCAATGGACATAAAAAGAAAAGAGACATTCGTTGAGAGTCAAGAATCAACAGGAACAACACTTAATAATAATAGTCATAGGGTACAATGAGAATAGAATAGAAAGGAGAATAGAACAGAATAGAACAGAGTAGAGTAGAGTAGAGTAGAGTAGAATAGAACAGAGTAGAGTAGAGTAGAGTAGAGTAGAACAGAGTAGAGTAGAGTAGAGTAGAATAGAACAGAGTAGAGTAGAGTAGAGTAGAGTAGAATAGAGTA